CTTGATACAAAGAGGTGGTTTTGTGCATTTGCACAGTGGAGGAGAGCACAGAGCTGGGCGAGGCGGGATGGGAGGCAGGCGGGGTGGAGCCCAGGATCCATCACCTCAGGGCTCCTTCCTGCAGAGCCCACGCTTTGCCTCTTGGTTTCCTTTGTCACCTCCCCGACCGTCCTCAGCACACCTGCGCTGAGCCAGGGCTTCCCCTGCAGATGTGTGAGGAAGAGCCACGTGCATCACTGGTTATTGCGTCTTTGACTCAGGAAACTTTGGTCAGGTGGCAGCCTCACAGGCGTGGCCCAGCCACCGGTCAGCGGGCCCAGCAGGTGGGCCAGCCTCTGTTGCTGGCCAGGATTTGTCGTGGGGGCCGCGAGGGTCCTGGCTGCACCTGAGAGAATTACTGAGGTGCGCTGGGGGAGGCTGGGGCTGCACAGGGGTCCTGAGTGCGCGGCTCCCTCCAGGCCCTCCATCCCCTGCAATGGCAGGTGCCTCTTAACGCCGACCCAGGTCACACGTGTGCTAGTTTAATTTTTTTTGGTGAGACAGAGCAAGCAGGCTGTGTCCACCGCCCTTGGTTAATTGAATCCGTTCAGTGAGCTCTGCGTTGCAGGGACAACGGACACTGCACATTCCATTTGCCTCACCTCTCAGGCGAGGAGACCTGGAAATCAAATAGTACGTGAGGAAGCGAATGCAGTACCGATTATTGCAAAAAACAGGCCACTAGGAAGAGTCACATAAATATGAATTCATGGACAGAGAATAAAATAGTTCATATGCTGAAAAAAAAAAAAAGGATGGAAACCCATAATTACTTTTGGAGTTATGGTAATAAATTATTTATTAATGTAAATTATTTCACAGGCAAAGCACATAGAGGAAACTTGAGCAGAAGGATCATGCATTATGTATAGAAAGGAATTGTAAAAATATTAAAATATTACAGCAGCCCCAGACTGCACTCGGTTCAGGTTTGTCAGCATTTTAATTATAAGCCTTTACTCCCCGTGTTTAATTACTTGGCTGTTAAAGTCGAGTCTGCCCATGAAAGGGGCGTTCCCAGGGGCGCCCTGTATTAGCCTCTGCTGGGTAAACCAGTTGGCTGTGCTGAGCCATGCTGGGCGGAAGGATTCCACTCTGGGACCTGGAAGCTTTTGGCCCTTTAATTCTGCCACTGTTCCTCGTTGGAAGTGGAATGGGGAGGCAGCCTTATATGAAAAAGCTGGCATTGGGAGGTCCAGCGTTTTAGATTTATTTAGACCAAACAAATGACTGAAGCAAAGTGAGCAACCAAACTGGAGTTCCTCGGGCCCGGTTCCCGGTCTCGGCCACCTTCTCTGTTTCTCCGAGACCGCCGTTTTGAGCGATGATCGGATCAGGGCCTCCTACAAGAAACAGTAGGCTCCCACGAGCCCTGTTTTCATTTTAAAAAGGACAACCACCTACAAGTGTGCATAGGTATGATTTTTAAAATTTTACANCTGTTTTCATTTTAAAAAGGACAGCCACCTGCAAGTGTGCATAGGTATGATTCTTAAAATTTTACATTTTACTTTTTACTTTTCTGTATTGTTATAGGCGTGGTCCTTCAGTCTCTAAAATAGTTTAAGGCTTAGTATAAGGCGTGTCCCACAACCAGAGGCCAAGGCCTGGGCAGCGAAGCCTGAGACCATTCTTTTCCCGGCACAGCTCTGCTTCGAGTCTCCATCCTGGTGACACAGGGAGAGAGGGGCTGCAGGGGCCCAGGGGCTCTAAAGGTCATTTACAAACAGATGCCACCTTTGTGGGGCCACTCAAGTGATCCCCGGTGTCTCCCCCTCTGTTCTTTTTATGAGATCAGTCCGTTGATGCTGCCTCCAGAAAGGTGCCTCAGTTGTCTCAAGTTTCCGTTGAAAGGGTTGGCGAGCTCCCACCCGCAGATCAGCAGAGTTCCTGCGCCCCGAGAGTGCGAGCACGGCCCGCCCACAGGCCCGGGGGACAGACCTCGTCGGCGCGGGCAGGCAGGTGTGAAGTCCAGGAATGAG